CTCCTCCTCCTTCCCCTCCCCTCCTCCTCCTCCTCCTCCTCCTCCTCCTTCTCCTGCTTCTCCTCCTCCTCCTCCTCTTTCCTCCCTCCCTGACTCGTCTCCCCACTCGCCTGCGCCTCCATCATTGCGCCCATCTCACATCCTTCTCCAGCGCCTGGCCTCCAGGCCACTGCTGCCTCATGCACTCTCACGCCTTTCGGCTGCGAGCCCGAGCGAAGGGGGGGAGGGGAACTGGCGGGGCGGTGCCTTCTCAGAGGGCTCCGGCGTCCCCTGGCCTCCTCCTCTTCCTCCTCCTCCTCCTCTTCCTCCTCCTCCTCCCCCTCCTCCTCCTCCTTCTCCTCCTTCTCCTCCTCCTCCTCCTGTCTGTAGCCATTTTGGCTCAAGCTGGTCTCGAGCCCCCTGGTCGCCATTTGCCCTCGCTCATGGCCGGGCCAGGAGCCGCTGCTTGGGATATGTCTTCACGGGACGGCGCGGAGTGCGCGCCGAGTTGGTCAGCAGCGCAGCGAAAGGTTGGTCATGACTGGGCGCGCTGGTCGGCGGATAACGCCATCGCGAGGTTGTCGTAAAAGCTCTCGCGGGTCCGCGACTGCATGGAGGCAGCCGAGATGGCTTTAAGCAGTCTGGTCGGCAGCGACGAGGTCGCCCAGAGGCTGCAGGCTATTCTCCCCGCCCTGCAGGCGAAGCTGGCAGGGAGGGAACCCTCCTGGCTCGAGACTCCGCGCCGCCACGCGGCCCTGCACGCGGACGCGCACGGCATCAACGTGGCGACGGCGAAGCCAGCTGAGCTGCGCCGCGCCCAGCGTGAACGGCGGATCGAGGTTCGTGCTGCACGAGAGTCCGATTCCGCGGGAGGCTTCGAGGGGAAGTTGCGCGCGGAGGCGCCCGTCTTCGTCCCGTCGGTCGTCATCGTGGTGGCTCCTCTTTGCGAGGACGTGGCCGAGACGGAGGCCCAGGCGGACATCGAGGAGGGGGCTGCCCAGCTTCAGCCGTGGGGGCCCATCCCCCCTGCGGCTGACGGCTCTGGGGGAGGGGTCGTGCATGTGGACGCCGACCGTGCTGATCGTGAAGGTGGTGATGCCGCCCATTCTGGTGGGCAAAGTGACGTTCTTCAATCTGCTGTGGCGGACTCTGGTCACTCTGGGGTGGTTGGTGGTGTCTCTGGCCATTCGGATACGTCCCTCGACGAGCCCAACATCGGTTATCTCGACCCTGGCGCGGTGTCCTTCCTGTGTTTCTGATGTCGCCATTCGATCCCTTTGCGATCCTGATCTTGTGCCGCAGGAGGAGTGCTGGGATATCGTCAGCCTTTCAGCGATCTGTGCAGCTGGCCTGCCGTGGTCGTGCCAGGGCGTCCATGTACTGGAGCTCGCTTTCCTCATTGGTGACTGCGGCTCTCCTGCCTCCAGTGCCACATCCTGTCGGACGGCCTTGAGGAGTGCGGCCGGTCGGTGTTCTCATGTTCCACGTGCGGGCTGGTGCTCTACGTGGTTTGCGCCCCGAAGGCCTGGCAGCGATGCGCTTTTTCATCATGGTGTATCGCGCCTGGTAGTGTACTCCTGGCTCGGGTCTTCCTGGTCCCGTACCTGGTGGCTTCCTCCCTGGACGGTGCCGTCGTTGTCCTGCTCGTGTTCGTTTTGGCCGAGTGCTTCTTCCCCGCGGCAGGTCCAGGCCTTGGCCAGTCTCGCCAGCTGGTCAGGAGTATGGCGGGCAGCTGTTCGTTGATGTTAAACAAAATCCTCCTCCTCCTCCTCCTCCTCCTCGTCCTCCTCCTCCTCCTCCTCCTCCTCCTCCTCCTCCTCCTCCTCCTCCTCCTCCTCCTCCTCCTCCCCCCGGGGGTGCGCAAATCCATTTACGCCCCACTGTCGATCCTCAGGGTTGGGGTGATCGTCAACATGGAAACTACCGTGGCGCCCCAAAACCACGGGCGTAGGCTCCACGCGCTGACCTTCGCGACGTGCTCGTGAATCTTCACCGTCGGCAATCCGCCGCTCAGGACAGCCAGCTTGTCTGTGTCCACGATGGTGGCCTAACACTATTCGGTTACCCGGGTCGTCAACCCCCTCGGCTGTCCTGAAGGGCGAGCAACCCCATTTCGCATCATGCGGGCACGTCGTGCCCCCACAATACATGGAATTAAGTAAGATCCAGTCCTGCATGAGCGACCTTCGGATCATCGCTTTCGTCCTGCCGAGCAGCGCTTTCAGGCAGGAGGTCTCTATCATCGCTTCTTCTCGCCAGGCCGTTGGCTTCGAACAGTCCGTGGCGCATGAGCCTCGCCAGCGTCGTTTACGTCGCCTGCGCCATCTTTGGCTGATCTAAGCCCTTGCGCGAGCTCCGCGGTCAGCTGGCTTGAAGAAACCGTCGCCCTTGTCAATCTGAGCTTTATTTGCGACCGTCGCATCCCATGCCGATGACCCGCTCCCGCTCTCAGGTGCTTGGTGACTTTGGGCGCGAACTTGGTCCACTGGTACTCTTGCGCCGCTGGGGGGGGGGTGCGAGGCGATGAGTCCACATGATGCGGTTCGCTTTGCGCAGGTGATGCTGGGGTACGCTGCCTTGTGGGTATCTCAAATGGCGAAGGGCAGTCAAGAGGCTCATGAATATTGTGATCGATTGGGGTCGTGGCAAGGATAGCAGGCGATGCCATCTTAAACATCGTATCAGGCGGCGGCGTAGGAGCATTGGCGCATGCAGCTCCAACCGTAACAGTCCCTGTACCCCAACCTCCGTGCCGTACTTGCCACTTTTTCGTGTCTATTTGAGACAGATCCTGGGCGCAGCTGACTTGCTGGCGTAAGCTGGCAGCCTTCCAGGTGCTTCTGGTACTCTTCGCGATCAACCTGAGTTTGGTGCTCCTTCTGCCTCTGCATCTCCCGACGATGTTCCTCAACTCGCTGGTCAGTCTGTGTATGTGGCGGTGCCCAGCCGTGCATGCTGATGTCAGTTTTGGCGTGGCCAGGTCTCTCAGGAGAGGGAAAGAAGTGATGCTGGTGTTCAAATCATTCCTCTGGCTTTCCACCTGGCGGCCCAAAGCTACCCGGGTCCACCCAAGAGGAGTACTGGGCCCATGCCAAGGCCTGTAGATCTTGCACGTTCTTGCGCTGCGCGCACATCTCGTTCTGCCGCATGATCATCGTGTCAGTGAGGCTCTTCATCTGCTGAGCCACGCCACGCATCTGCTCGCCAATCTGCATTGATAGATATCCCGCGATCGCCTTCACGTGCGCCCCCGAAGCTGCTGATGCAGATGGTGCAGTATTGCGATCCTCCGTCTTGCCAGGCACGCGTTCAGCATCATGAGGGGCCTCTTGTGCTCCCTTGCCTTTGGGCTTGGTGAGCTCATCCACTCGCCTCATGCCACGAGGTATGGAAGCCCTTCCTGCAGAGTTGGTGTCCCATGGTCTCCCCGCGCGCTCGGTGCAGCACCATCGTCCTCCTCGTCCATGCCATTTCCTGAATCCTCGGCTTCGCACTCCAGTTCCTCGCCCCTCATCGCTTCCTTGTCTTCAAATTTCTGCAACATGCTATCGAGGTATACCTCGAGCTCCAACTCCTCGGCCTGCAGCTATTTTTGGCGTCTTAGTATGCTAGCAATCCTTGTTCCATGTCATCGTTTTCCTTGCGCAAGGCCTGAAGCTGCCATTGTATCAGGCATGACAATTCGTCCACCAGCTTGGGTGTGTCCGTGCCAATTGTACCACCTGCCAGAATAGCATCTGCAGCTTTGTCCATGCGCTGCTCCACCTTGTTCTTGATCTCCTTGAGCTTCTTGGGGTCGTTTGGCGGCTCGATGTAGTGCTCGCTGGCCTCGATATTCTCGAAGGTAGCGGTAGGGGTATCCTTGATCAGCTCATTTGTAGCCGCAGATGCCGCTCCTCTGGGCTTGGGCGCCCCAGATGCAGCTCTAGATTTTCATGGCTTGCCGCATCCTTTGCAGTTCCACTGAGACTTCGGTGCCACTTTTTAGCACGAAGTGCATGTCCAAGCGGCCGTCGATCTTGTGGTCGGCCTTCCCATTTCTGACGGCTGTCGTGAATGATGTCCCTTGAGAAGATCGCGCGGTGCAGCTGCTCGAAGGAGAGGTCGACCCTGGGTGCGACGTTTAAAGCGCAGCCTCTGATGCCAAGCCTCGTCACGTGGCCTGGACGTCCTGGCAGCGCGGCAGCCGCCGCCGAGCCCTTGGGCACCACGGCACTCGGGCAGCGGCCATGACGAACGATCAATACGCGTACCCATACCCATAGGGGGGACGGAATGAGCTGCGGGTGCGTGTTGTCGGATGGGGGTCCCCGCTCGAGCGGGAGCCTCCCCAGGGGTCCCACAACTCGCACCCATACCCATAGCCAGTCCTCCTCCCTCCGACCTCCCTATGGGTCTGGGTGTGTGTTGTTCGTTCGTCAGGCCACGCTGCACGCCTGAGCCCCGCCTCCCAGCCCCGGGGCGGCCCGCGGCCGCACGGGCGCGGCCCGGGCGCGCCCCGTGGCGGGCCCGCCCCGCGCAGGAGAGGCGGTGGCCTGCCCTGCCCCCCTCCCTCCTCCTCCTCCTCCCCCTCCTCCTCCCTCCCTCCTCCTCCTCCTCCTCCTCCTCCTCCTCCTCCTCCTCCTCCTCCTCCGCCTGCTCCCTGCTCGCCTCCCCACTGCTGCCTGCGCCGCCCCCAGGCCCATTTAGCGATCGCGTTCCACTGCTCGGAAAGTGCCTACTCGCGAACGTTCGGGAACATATGCTCGCCTCGATGTGACGGATGGTGACCCCCCCGCGACGGATCCAGGTCATTTGCGAGCAGTTACTCTGCGAGTAGTGGAAGGCGCTCATGCTCCTTTCCACGGAGCACCCCACGGTCTCCAGAGCACCCCTCACGAGGCCCAGCTTCCCCGGGGGCTCCAGACTCGAGCGCAAAGCTGGGGGGCACCTTGGGTCAGGGGCACCCTCAGCAGCCCCCCGACCTGCGCCGCCCCCAGCCCATGCTGCTCCGCTCGGCGGCCCCGCGGCCCCCCACCCAGGGCGGCGACCGCCGGGACGACCGCAGAGACGACCGCGATGACCGGCGGGACGACCGCAGGGAGGACGACCGCAGGGACGAGCGGAGGGACGACCGTCGCGACGACCGGCGGGACGATCGCCGGGACGAGCGGAGGCGCCGCCCGCCCGAGGATGAGCTGGAGGACGACGCGGGGAGCAGGAGGGAGGACGGAACGAGCAGGGAGGGGTGATGGAGGGAGAAGGGATGGAGGGACGAGGGAGCGAGGAACCGAGAGGATGGGAGAGGACAGGGGAGGAGGAGGAGGAGGAGGAGGAGGAGGAGGAGGAGGAGGAGGAGGAGGAGGAGGAGGAGGAGGAGGAGGAGGAGGAGGAGGAGGAGGAGGAGGAGGAGGAGGAGTTGGAGGAGGAGTTGGAGTTGGAGTAGCAGTGGTGACCCAAGACGCCTCAATGATGATGCAACAAACCCTCCCTCCAGGTGGCATCTTGAAAGGTCCCAACAGCATTTTCCCCAAAACAGTGCTTGCACTGATGGTTCTTATTTCTGTTCTCAGGAACTTGGCCGTGTCTTCGGTCTGTCGGCGATGTGGCCGCCGTCGCCGCCCCTTCGCCGCCTTGTCGACGCCCTAGATTGCACGCGTATAGTTTGAACCGCGTAGACTGCACGGCAAATACTGCACCGCATAGACTGCACCACATAGGTTGCACAACATAGATTGCACCGCATAGAGTGCACCACATAGATAGCACAGCACATATTGCACTGCATAGAGCGCACAACATATATTGCACCACATCGATTGCACCACATAGAGTGCACAACATAGTTTTCACCACATTTATTCTCCTCTTTATAAAAGAGTTGGGATCTACCACCCCCCGAGGCTGGGATGATCTCTCCGCTCTGGGTATCTGCAACTTGTATATGATTCTGCCCCTCGTTCAGTCTAAACATGAGTTCATTTGATACCAGCCAAGCTGGTATCGACTACCCCTTCTCACTCCTTGCAGAGAATACCATTCGCGCGCATTTCTTCATCTTCAAATGCATTTGTTGAAGGATCCCTTGCAACACAAATGGGAAGAACTGCGCGCGCGTTGTCGCGCGCGCATGCCGGACTCTTTGGTGTCACAATGATTTGGAAATCGAGTGCCCCGAAAACATATACATAACCAATGGCTTCCCAACAGGAATTTGCAAAAAAGGCCTGCGCTCGCGCTCTTGCGAATTCTTGAGACAGCCACAGGTATTCCGACATGTCCATCGAGTGCGACCAGACGTGCCCCTCGCGCACGCATGTCGAGATCATTCGAACGCCCTTGCGCGCGCGCTGTCGCAATAATCCCTCGCGCAAAATTGGACGAAGTGCGCACGCGCGCGTCGTCGCGCGCATGCTGGAACACTGAAATTACCTTCGGTCTCGTAAGGATTTCAAACTTGAGTCTCCCGAAACATTTACATGACCAGTGGTTTCGCGACAGGCAAGTTCAAACAAACGTACGCTTGCGCTCTTGCGACTTCTTTGGAAAACCATCGGTGTCCCAACATATTCGGTAACTGCTACCAAACATGTCCCTCGCGCGTGCATGTCGAAATCATTCGATCGCCGTTGCGCGCATGCTGGGGGATGGGGGGTGGGGGTGGGCACGATCCTTTTCAAAGAATGCCATGCGGGCCACTCGTGCGCGTTTCCGCGCGAGCTCATGTCGAAATCTTTCCAGAATTTCCATCGCCAATGCGAGGACACCGTCACCGTCATCGGCGAGATCAACATCGGCGCCATCATCGCCCTTGCCATCGTCATTGTCACCATCGCCGCCAGCATTGCTACTACCATCGTCGTGGCTGCCATTGTCGACGTCGCCATTATGCCGCTCCCGCACGCGTCACCGACATGTACTGGAGTGCCCAGGCGCCACCGCGGCCTCCGAGACGCGCTGGGAAGTTCCCAGCGGTCAGCACCACCGCGGCCGCGCTGGTCGCGCCAGACTAGCTGACAGTTCTGCTCGCGAGCCTGCGCGTGCTAGCGCGGCCGCAGCGATGTACCAACCAGCGCCAAACAGCCATCGCAATCGCCGCCGCATGGGTTTCGAGCATCAAGTTGCGGGTGGGTGGGTGGGATGAATGCGCGGGTATGGGAGGTGATCCAGCTTGAGGAAGGCAAAGTCACTTGCACCTCCTAGACTGTTCGACATGGCTTGCACGACACATGTTGGCACGCATGGCGTGCACCAGTTGGAATGCACAGCGTGTATGGCACCACAGCAAATCCACCACGTATGTTGCACCACATAGATTGCGCCACATCTCGTGCACAAGGTCTATTCTCCCTTCTAAGAACATATTCGGATGCACCCTCCTCCGTTCGGACTTGCCGCCTTTCTTTCCCTCCGTATGAGATTCTGCACGCTCCTCCATCCAAACATTGTGTTTATATCATTCCCTGGAAACGCTTACCGACCCCTCCTCCTATAGAACAGTTTTGCGCGCGCACTCGTTCATCACAAAACACGAGTTTATAATAAACCCTTGTAGCAAATGGGACGAAATTCGCGCGCGCGCGTCGTGGCTCGCGCACACCAGAATCCTTCAAACACCTTTGCTTCCGTATTGGTTTTAGATTCGAATGTCCCGAACACATATACCAACCACTGGTTTCGCACTAGGAAGTTTCAAGAAAGCCTGCGCGCTCGCGCTTGTGCGCTTTCTTAGCAAAGCCATAGGTTGTTCAATCTTTTCGTCAAGTGCGAGCAGACGTGCCTCCCGCACGCACATTTCGAAAACATTCGAAAACACTCGTGCGCGTGCAGTCGCAAGAGCCCTTTGCAACAAATGGGACGAAGTGTGCACGCGCGCGTCGTCGCGCGCGCTTGTCGAATTCTTTCAAACAGCCTCAGGCTTCGTGCGGAATTCAAAACCGAGCGCCCCGAAAACATGTTTAAACCACATGGCTCGGCAACGCCAGTTTTCAAGCAAGAAGGTCTGCGCGCGCGCTCTTGCGTAGTCTTAAGACAACCATCAAGACAATCATCCGGTTTTCAATATCTTCACCCAATTCGACCAAACGGGTCTCTCGTGCTGGATGCCGAAATCATTCGAACGCACTTGCGCGCGTGCTGGGGTGGGGGGGATAGGATCTTTTTCAAATAATACCATGCGGGCCACTTGCGCGCGTCGGCCGCGCGCCCGCGCCGGACTCCTTCCAGAACCTTCATCATCGACGCGAGGACACCGTCATCGTCATCTGCGTGAGCAGCATCGGCGCTGTCATTGGCCTTGCCGTCGTCATCGTCATCATCGCCATCATCGATACTATCATCATCGTGTCTGCCGTTGCCGGCGTCGCCATGATACCGTGCTCGCCAAAGTCACAGACTCGCAGTGAAATTCACGCTGGGGAAGTGCCCAGCGGTCAGCGCCACCGCGGCCGCGTCGGTCGCGCCAGACTAACTGGCCGCTCTGCTCGCGAGCATGCGCGGGGTAGCGCGGCCGCAGAGTTGCACCAGCCGAAGCCAAACACCCGCCACAATCGCCGCCGCATGGGTTTCGCAAACGAAGTTGCGGTTGGGTGGGTGGGATGATTGCGCGAGCAGTGGGGTTGTCAATTCCGAGTTTTCCATCACGTAGATGGCGCGACGTTGTCAGCATTTCGTATTTCGCACATCCTATCGTGAACCGGATCGTTTGCACTGCATGGGTCGCACAACCTTTCGTTCACCACGTAGGCTGCCTACCATATCGCGCCACATTCACATTGTTTTCGGTCCACGTTTGCTAACAGTCTTTACGCGGGATGTTATCTATTGGAAAACCTCATCTTGATAATCTTCAATCGCGCCAAAACGCATTTCTTGGGAATTCAAGGCTGCAGATCAGCGTTATTGTCGCGTCCTGACAGGCTTCAGTCATGCCAGAAAGCAGTTCGTGACACGTCAATATTGCGAATCAGCGTGAGTGTTGCGCGTTGACAATCCTAAATCGTGTCAGACCGCCGTACCTCGGAGTTCAACCATACGAATTCTTGAAACAATCGTGGTGTTTTACAACGAATGTGCGCGGCGCTCAATCGAGGAGCCGCCGTCCATCCTTGAAACGGCTGCGAACTTTTGAGACGAATTTGCTCGGCGCCACGGCGAGAGCCACATTTTGAAAACCACGTGTGTTCCATCCTTGAAGCCGCTGCCAGACGACTGTGCGCGGCGCCTTGGCGAGAGCCAGACTTGAAAACGACCCACCCTTCACTCGTGAAACGGTTGCAGATTTCAAGCTGCAGGATAAGAGATGGTGCGGAAGTCTTAGGCTGAACGCCCGACCCTCCTTACCGACAGGTCTTGGGGTGCGACAGGGAGGAGTCATTTATGAGACAAGGGATAGCGGATGACATTGTTCCCAACCGTCCTGTGGTGCTGGATCCTCGTTTTGAAGAGACAGCGCCTGGCGTTCCTCCTCGTGCTCCTCCTCGCCCCTCTTCGCCCCTCCTCCCCATCCTCCCATCCCTACTTGTGTCCTCCGCACTAAAGCGTTTCGGGGCCCCATAGGGAGCTCCACGGGCCCCAGTGGCTGTGACCACATGCGTCCGCGCACGAGAGTACAGCGCTTCGTGGCCCCATAGGGAGCTCCACCGAAGGCCCCTCCTCCTCCTCCTCCTCCTCGTCCTCCTCCGCCTCCTCCCTCCTCTCATCCTTGCCTCTGACTTCCGCATTTTATTTATTCATATATATATATATATATGTATATGTATGTATGTATGTATGTATGTATGTATGTATGTATGTATGTATGTATGTATGTATGTATGTATGTATGCATGCATGCATGCATGCATGCATGCATGCATGCATGCATGCATGTATGTATGTATGTATGTATGTATGTATGTATGTATGTATGTGTATATATATATATATATCACCGTTCGATTCTTGTACACCCCTCTGCCTCGTAGGGCGCTCCTCCGAAGGCCCCGATGGCGCAGCGCGTAGGCGTCCGCCCCACCCATGTCGGCACACCCCTCACGCTCCTCGTGGCCCCATAGGGAGCTCCGCCCAGTGCCCCAATATCGCAGCCCGCCTGCGTCCGCCCCTCCCATTTAGGCACGCTTCTCACACGTTTCGTGGCCCCATACGGAGCTCTGCCGAAACTCCAGTGGCGAAGCCCGCATGCGTCCGCCCCACCTGTTTCGGCACACCCCTCACACGCTTTGTGGCCCCATAGGGAGCCCCACCGCAGGTCTTAGTTGAGCAGCTCGCACGCGGCCGCCCCACCCACTTGGCACACCCCTCACCATCGAAGCTCCCAGTGGCGTAGCCCACATGCGGCCGCCCTACTAATTTCGGCACACCCGTCACACGTTTCGTGGCCCCACAGGGAACTCCACCGAAGGTCCCAGTGGCGAAGCCCGCAGGCGTTTGCCCCTCCCATTTCGGCACGCCGCTCACGCGTTTCGTGGCCCCACATGGGGCTCTACCTAAGGCCATAGTAGCAGCGCCCGCATGGCGGCCCCAAGTGCGCGCTTCGTGGCTCCATGAGGGGATCCGAAGGCGATACTCGCAACGACGGTACTCACGATTGCTCATGGCTGGGTCCTTCGCCGGGTCAACTTGAGTTTTCGACCAATCACGGAGGTGTGCGCGACAGGGAGGAGGGGGGTAGGGAGGAACAGGGGGGATAGCGAAACGACGAGGAGGAGGAGGAGGAGGAGGAGGAGGAGGAGGAGGAGGAGGATGAGGAGGAGGAGGAGGAGGAGGAGGAGGGAGGAGGAGGAGGAGGAGGAGGAGGAGGAGGAGAACGGGCAACGGAGCAAGGAGGGGGGAGGGGAAGGAAAGGCGGAGCGGACGAAGAAGTGGGGAGTGCCAGGGGAAACAGGGAGGGGGCTGGGGCCTGGAGGGGAGGAGGGCTAGCGGCAGGGGGGGGCGTCAGGAGGGCGGCTTGGCCCGCTTGTTCTTACATACCCTGAGATCCGACCCCATCTTCCTGCGTCATGTGTCGAGCCAGATCGATCTGTGAGGGTCCAGGGGCCCGAAAAAAAAGCGAAAACGCCTGGCTCGAAAAATTGAGTCGCCAGGATCTCAGGGTCGGCCACCATTTAGGCCTCCTAGATGGGGTCGGAGTAGTTGGGGTCGGAGGATCGCGCAGCATCGCAGATGCATCGACGATGCGGCTCGATGTGGAGCCCGATTTGCTTCACGTCGACGTCGCCGATGCGTCGCCCACGTCGACGATGCGTCGCCAGAGCATGCCCGATGAATCGCCGATGCATCGGCGATGCGGCGCGATCCTTGGACCCCAACTACTCCGACCCCATTTAGGAGGCCTCTACTAGAGGAACGAACATTGACATAAACATACAAACTGTGAGGTCCGCGCGGATTTCTCGGATCGGCACTGAAACCCCCTCCCTGGGGCGCGGAGCGCGCCAGGGGCGACGCCGGAGGTGCCGCCAGGAGGCTCCAGTGCCGATCCGAGAAATCCTCGCTGTCCTCAAAGTTTTTATGCTTATGTCACTGCTCCTTCCCCTATCTACTCCCTGCCAGCCGCGCGAGGCCAGACCTCTGAGTTTTTATGTTTATGTCACTGTTCGTCCCCCTAGCAGAGCCCTCACAGATGGGGTCGGAGTAGTTGGGGTCGAAGGATCGCGCCGCATCCCCGATGCATCGGCGATGCATCGGGCATGCTCCGGCGACGCATCGTCGACGTGGGCGACGCATCGGCGACGTCGACGTGAAGCAAATCGGGCTCCACATCGAGCCGCATCGTCGATGCATCTGCGATGCTGCGCGATCCTCCGACCCCAACTACTCCGACCCCATCTAGGAGGCCTCTACAGATGGTCCTGTTTTCCACCACCACCACCACCATAAGTTGGAGGGGAAAAAGGAGGCGGAGGTTGAGGAGGAGGAGGAAGGAGGAGGAGGAGGACCCCTCCTCCTCCTACTCATGGTGGTGGCGGTGGAAAACAACCCAGACATGCGACGTCCTGCCCTGGAAGGCCAGACCCTTCCCCCAGGACCGGCCTTTCGTCCCGAGTCGCTTTTTGACGGCCCCGAAGCCCGGCGAGGGCTCCCCGAGTCCCGATTCTCTTACGGCGCGATCATGTCTGGGAAGCCCACCATCTACGCCCGCCGCGCTTGATTGCAATCCTTCGTTTTTTTTTGTTGTTGTTGCAATCCGTTTTTTTGCAATCAGTTTTTTTTTTTTTTTTTTTTTTCTTTTTGCAATTCTACGCCCGCCACGCGAGGCCAGACTCTTCGCCGCCGCGCCGGCCCTCGCCGCCGCGCCGGCGCGGCGACAGCCGGGCACCCAGCAGGGGCGGCGACCGCCGGCGGGGCGCCTCGGCCTCGGCGCCCGCGGAGCCCCGGGGGGAAGCGGGAGCAGGCATGCCAGGGTCAAGTCGGGCATGTCCTTCCCCCCCCTCCTCCTCCTCCGCCTCCTCCGCCTCCTCCGCTCCTCCTCCTCCTCCTCCTCCTCCTCCTCCTCCTCCGCCTCCTTCTCCTCTCCTCCTCCTCCTCCTCCTCCTCCTCCTCCTCCTCCTCCTCCTCCTCCTCCTCCTCCTCCTCCTCCTCCTCCTCCTCCCCCCTTCTGAGCCAGCCACCCCTCTCGCGCCACCACCTCGTGGGGTCCGCCAAGATGGGTGCAGGCAGGCCGGCAGAAGTGGCCAGGGCCAGCCCCAGACCTCGTCGGGCCTGTCCCTCAGCAGGAGGAATATACAAAAATAGTCAAAACATTGTTCGGGGACGATTTTTGATGATTTTTTGACTATGTTTGAGTATTTTGTGGCTATTGGCAATCGCCAGTTGATCGCCGATAGGGGCCCGATATAGCTCCAACCTGCACAGGAAGGTGCGGATTCACGGTCGGGGGCCTATCGCCGATCTATCGGCGATGTATCGCAGGTCGATGCGTCCCCCCTATGCCAGTCCCCCCAATCGTTGCCCCTTCCCAGAGGAGGAACAGGTACCCATACCTCTACTCTTCGCCCGTTTTCTCCCTCTTGGGCTTCCTGGGAGGCCTTCGTCGCCATCGCTGCATTCGCCTCGAACTCCTGGTCAGAGCGCACCCTGGGAGAGATACGGGGAGTAGCGGTGGTGTGGGCGGGGGGGACGGGGAAGCCCTGAGATGCTGGCGTCTCGTTTTTTTTTAGAGCCGGGCGTTTTCCCTAAACTTCGGTCCCCAGGACCCTTACACATCGATTCAGCTGGAAAAATGACGCAGAAAGATGGGGTCTAGGGCTCCGGGCGTGATTTTTTGCGATGTTGCAATTTAGTCGCAACGTCGGATCTCAGGGAAGGTGCGGGAGGGATAAGTGGAGGAAGTTGGAGCTTGGGGGGTGAGATCGCAGCGGAACGGAGAGGTCCCCACCGGGAGATCGGTTTCGGTTTCGTGTCGTGAGTGCGGGTGAGGCGAAGCTGCGTGGGCGCGCGAGAGGAATGACCCCGCCGTGGGGGAGGATACGTGGGGGAAGTATTGAGGGGAGGGGGGGGCATGGAGAGTTCATGGCGGGAGGGGAGCAGGGGAAGTGAGGGTAGGGGGAGGCGGGATGGGTAGGGGAGGGCAGGGGAGGACACGTAGGGGTACTGAAGAGAAAGCAGGTTAGGCTTGGGAAGTGGCGGACGAGCAAGTGAAAATAACGGGGAGTGGGGGCTGTAGGAGGAAGGGAAGTGGTGAAGGTCAGGGACACGGGTTTGGCGAAGAGGGGAAGGCGGCTGTTGGACACGGCGCGAGGGGGCGGGGGCAGTCAGGGGGAAGCTGAGGCATCGTGGCTAGCAACTAGCAAGCAGCGGATCGCGGGCAGTGGGCCAGCAGCAGGTGCTCAGCAGATGCTAACTGGAAAGGGGCCAGTGAACGCCAGACCAAAGCCAGACCCTGGCGCATGGTGCAGCCCTCGATCATGACTGCAGAAAAGGCCACCCGCCGCTGGCCTCGATTCGAAAACAACGTTCTTAGCGTGGCCTAAGGGGTACAATCAACATTGATAGTAAGGATGATCGACTTCCCAAGGGTAATTACCCTTGCATACTTGCCTCTTCGGTCATCTTCGGTCCATCATCAACCACTTCGATGGCCAGCCCCGCTCGAAAAGCTTCGGCATGGGTGTCCAAGGCCCTTGCATCCTAATCGCGCATCCTAACTCTCAGTTTGGACTGTAGTGATTCCCAGGGGCATTTCCCGACAGGACGGTCTTCTATTTTGCGGTAGGATTCGACTGCCGGAACCAGAATCGGCCTGCAGCGGGTCCATCGGGGCCTCCGCGCCGAGGTTTTGAAGCTCCCGTCCAGCTCGAGCTGGTGGAAGGTGCCCCCCGCCCGTCCACTGTCAGAGGAAGAGGGGAGAGAGAAGGAGGAATCGGAGGAGGTTCGGGCCCCGAAATACCCCTGTTCACCCAGGGTGCCCGTGCCAGGAGAGGAGCGCGGCCGCGCCCAGCGGTGACGACGTCCCCCGCAGCAGGAAGGACGCACCGATCATCCCAGGCGCCCGTTCCCAGCCGCCGAAACCGCCGCTGCCTTCGCTCTGTGCCGCTCCGCTGCCTCGGCTGGCATCCTTCAGTGCCCATGTTGGACCGACCTTTGGCTTGCAAGATGAATGATCGGGGGCGACTGCCGCGTCCCGGGGCCGTGGGACGCCCAGAGGAAGCTGCCACTGCTGCTGTCTCGCGCTCGTTTCCCGCATTGTGCCGGTGCCGTCGCCTTTAAAGTGGTTTCTCGTCGCGATATCAAGCTGACCGACGCCGCGACCGACGCCGCGTCACTACATTACCATGATACTCTGCCGTGCCGAGTGACTCAACGGAACCACGACCCCATTAGTGCTGCGCGCTTTTCTTCGCTGTCGTGCTTTGCCTGTGCATGTGTACGATCATCCTTTCTGCAGCCGCGAGCCATTCGACCCATTGCTCAGGCTGGCGCGGGAGAGTTCTCATTGCACGAGGGGCCGAGGGAGTAGAAGGAGGAGCAAGAGGGTGCGTGCTTGCGCGTGTGATGTGCTGGTGACCTTGTCTGGTTCTGCCTCCTCTGGCGCTTTCTTCTTTGGTAGATGGGGGGGGCCATGCATTGACGTATGTATTTCGCTTCCGAGGGTATCTTGCGACTCCACGAACCACGGGCCTAAGCATGTCCTCCACTTTACCTGCTCTCCGCGTGCCCGAGGTGATGCACGTGTAGGAGTGTGGTAACCGGTCGAATGCGTTGTGGGGATGTGTTTGCGCTTGTGCCTTCCTGCTTACACTCCAGAAGTCTTGCCAAAGCTCATTTCCGACATGCTGCTTGTTTGGGCAGGTATGATTTCAATTGAAAGGGTTGCGGGCTTCTCAGCGGAGCTCCCCTCGCGCAGTTTTGGGACCTTCAGCCCACCTCGGGTTCCACTGGCAAGGGCAGGGCGCTTAGGCAGACCTGCCTGCGGTGTGCGAGACCCAGGAGCTCAGGGGAGGAGAGTCTGTGGCCGCTCCTCGCGATCCCCGCCTCTCTGCTGGCTCTCTGCGCTCAGGCTCGCCCTCCTGTCGGGGAAACGTGAGACTCGAAGCTGGAACTCGGGTTTGCCGACTTCCTTTTGACGAGCGCGTCCTGGATTTTGACGGTCCCGCTTTCGTGGGATGCTTGCAGCGGGAGGCCGCGTCAAATCTCAGACTGGGTCTCGTTATTTTTATGATGGCCCCTGTCAGGCCAACCCGAGTCCCCCGTACCCGAACCTTACATCTCCCCGATCCTGGGTTGAGGCTCGCTGAGGGGCAGCGAGCGCGATCTGTGTTTCTGAGGCGACGGGGGAGAGGGCAATGCTTTCGTCGGGCAAGAGCAAGCACGCAGGCCTGAAGTCAGAGCCTCTCGCGAAGGCGGCGGCAAGGCTTGCTGTGGACCGATCAAGCGCGCCCGCCGAGCGTATGGGGATCTGGCCCAGGAAACAATGCTGCCCCCCCAGCGACCTTCAAGCAAGAGGCAACCTCCGCACGAGGTTCCAGAGTGGATGGGGGGAGCAGGATAGCGAGATGGGGAAATACTGCCGAGCAGAAACGGGACAGGAACGACTTGCAGGAGGCGCGCGAGGGGGAATGGGGGAGGAGGAGCAGCAGGAGGAGCAGCAGCAGGAAGCAACGCTGCCCCCCCAGCGACCTTCAGATCCTGGGCTCCCTCTGCCCGCGCCCGCGCCGCGCTCCTGCCCGCGCTCCCCGGGCTCCGGCCGCGCTCCGGGCCCCGCCCGAGCGCACCCTCTCGCGCGCGCCGCGCCCGCGCGCCGCGCCGCGCCGCCGGCGCAGGCCGCCGGCGCCCCGCCAGCGCTGCAGGGACCGGCGAGCACTTTGCGACCGTGGACATCGGGGCTCAAAGAGACGGGGTCGATGCAAACGGGGGTCGGCCAGGGCACCAGATCCTGCAGGATCCTGCGAGGGCCCCCTCTGGCTGACCCGGGTTAGTGAGCCGCTCGTGGCCGCGAGGCGGCCGCGCCCATTGGCTGACCCGGGTTTGCGAAGACCTGCGTTGCAGTTTTTTGTTTTTTTTCCTGCATTGCAGTTTTTGGTTTCCTGCTGACCCGGGTCTGGATTGACCCGGGTCAGAAGATCCCCGAGTGGACTATCCCAGCTCGAGCAAAAAACATGACCCCAAAACAGGGCCCATTTGCCCCAAGAGATTTTTGCAAGAGGACCCATGATATGCCCCCGAGACGACTACGAAACGGCTTCTAAATCCCCCAGGCTGCATCTCAGGCGCCCGCGGCCCGAGCACACGCGCGCGCGAAGGGGAGATGCGCGCGCGCGCGAGTGCGCGCTGGGCCCAGGAGGCGGCACGCGCCGGGGGAGGCGCCGCCCCGAGCGCCTCCTCCCCGAGCGCCGCCTCCGGGGGCCGCGGGCCCCCCCCCCCCGCGGAAGGAGAGGGGAGGGGAGCCCTCGGCGGCTCCTGTTCCTGCTGCTCCTCAGCTTTCTCCTCCTCCTTTTCTCCTCCTCCTCCTCCTCTTCCTCCTCCTCCTCCTCCTCCTGCACCTCCTGCTGCTCCTGCTGCTCCTCCGCTTTCTCCTCCTCCTTTTCTCCTCCTCCTCTTGCACCTCCTGCTGCTCCTGCTGCTCCTCCGCTTTCTCCTCCTCCTTTCCTCCTCCTTTCCTCCTCCTTTCCTCCTCCTTTCCTCCTCCTTTCCTCCTCCTCCTCCTCCTCCTCCTCCTCCTCCTCCTCCTCCTCCCCGCCCCGAGGCGCCGTGAAGATCGGGGACCCTGGCGAGCATCCGCCGCCCACCTGGGAGGTCGAGGAGCTCGGCAAGCGGGCCGGCGGAGACGCGACCTTCCAGGCGGCGTGCAGTGGCGAAGCGTGTTGGCGAACCTTTTGTGGTTTCCACGAAATGCTCTTCGAACATTTCTGGCTGGGACGGTCTTGTTTTATCACATCGGGTTCATGTTCCAAGAACATTGCTTTTGTTCTTAGAACATTTTTGGGTTCTAAGAACATGTCGTGGTAGGCCTATACAAATGCTGGGACGGTCGGTCCCTGTTCAAAGTCATGCTGCATGGATTGCTTACGGCTTGCGCTGTCATGGCGCCAGCATCACAGAGCGGAGATCTCGTTCGGAAAACGATGGGATGGGCCCGGAGTGTCCTGGATAATTTCGTTCTGGATGTCGAGGTGAGTTTCAGCGGATTTTTTTGGCAAGGAATGGAGACAAAAAAAACAAAAAACGTTCCACGCGAAATTCATGTCGTTTTTCGCTCGCTGTTTCGGGTTTTGTATTGGCAGAAATCCACGCGAAAATGCGCTGCAGCGCGTTTGCAAGGTCGGTACACTGAGCGTTGGAAAGGTAGCGCGAGATGTGACGCCACCAGCCCGCTTCTTAAGCGCTCACCCCCCACTCTCGGGACAGCGGGCACGGAGGAAGCTCTGGCGGGGGGGCTGCAGCGCCAGCCGCTGTGGGAGTCGCCCTTCTGCCGCCATCGCCCCCGCCGACAGACGGGTGGCGGGCGGGGCAGCGGATCGTTGGCTCGAGGCCATCTTGGGGCCTCTTTCGGGTCGTCTTGAGCCATATTTCGGCGGCGAGCGAGGGGGGGGGGAGAGAGAAGGAGAAGGCCTTCTCAGAAGGCAGCGGGACTTCTCAGAAGACCTCGCGCCGTCTGAGAAGTTCCCCGTGCCTTCGGGGAAGGCTTCGAAAGCTTCTCAGAGGGCCGGGGGACTTCCGAGCCTTCTGAGAAGGCCTCCTCCTTCTCACTTCCCTCCCTCGCTCGCCGCCGAACATTGGAGCATCCTGGGCCATCTTGGGGCAACCGCGGGGCTACCTTAGGGGCCTCTGAGGTACATCTTCCTGCGTCTTCCTGCCTAGTCTGAGTGGCAACTTGGGGCCTCCGTGAGTAGTCTTGGGGCTTCCTGGGGACATCTCGGAGACATCTTAGGGCCTTCTTGGACCATCCTGGAGTCTTGTGGAATCTTGGGGCCTTTGGATGCCACCACTGGGGGGCTGCCCTGGGGCCGTCTTGGGGCCCCTCGAGAGTAACAACACTCGACAGGCAAACCACTTTGAACATCACAATGCTTTTCATTGCTCATTGCGCCCGCAGAGCGGGAGTCATGGCGGGCCCCCCAGGGAGAAGCTTGCACGCAGATTTTGCAAACAGTGGGTGTTAGGAACATTGCCTCGACGAGAGTTAGTACCGATCGTCGCAATGTTTCTTTGGGGCGTATCTGGCGCCACTTGGGGGATGAAGCGGTCTTGGAGGCCAGCTAAGGGCCTGTTGGGGTCCACGGGGTACGACGTGCGTGAGGGGTGTGCCGAATTGAGGTTCCAAGGAGCCGTCTCGGGGGACAGCTGAGCGCCCAACATTCACGAAGTGCGTGAGAGGTGTGCCGAATGTAGCTTCCGATCAGAACTATTATTTCTACGTCTCCCAGCAGCCTCGAAGCCTCAACCATTTGTTATTTTACGTGCCCCAGGAGCCTGATAGCGCATATCACTTGTATTTTCACTTGTCCCAGTAGGGTGTGGGGCAGGACATACGTGAGGGGTGTCTAGAATTGAGCCCTTCGTGGCCCTCGGATCGCACATCATTTGTATTTTCAGGTGCCGAGTCGAAGTCTTCGTAGCTGTGGGGGCGCAGACCATTCGTAATTTTTCAATCCCAAGTAGCTGTCGCGCACACGGGCCCTGGGGCAGAAGCGGAAGCAAAGGCGACGAAATCTGCGTCAGATTTGTTCACCGTATTGCGTGTTGCATTAGCGTGCACTTTGGTCATTTAAGTGTGGCTGATGGTTTTCGTCGTCGCCCTACAGCGTGTCCAAGAACCGACCGACATACAAGTGCGACGACTCAACGCCGCAACCCGAAAGCTTTCGTAAGTTCTCAAGGGTATCATATGCCATCAGCCACGACAGGAGAAGTGGGTCTACATAGCGACTCCAGCTATCGTCGCTTGTGCGGTGACGCCAATGATGAAGTCAAGGGTTGTGGCATCAGAGGTTCCAGCCTATTTCTGCGTTGACAGACGCCTAGCGGAAAAATGGTCGCCCGCCTTATAGATGCGTGCTGTAAATCGCATCGACTACAAGTGCGCTCCAGCTATTCGGCTGAGACCCCAGAAACAGCCCGTGACCTGGAGGACTGCTACCCAAACATCGTCACGGTGCACGATTTCAAGGCAGGATCATTTACTCCGATACATCTCAAACATAGATCAGAGATCGTTTGTCTATGCATCTTGCAGTACTTGACGTTGATGCCGACTCTCTCTTCAAGTCCTTATCCAGTAAGGATTTTCAGGAACTCGCTGAGTGTGCCCTTCTCGGTCACATCAGTTGGATTCGACAGCTGATGGAAATAGGTAACTTGCATCATGTACATGAGTGTGATACACGTGATATGACGGCCGGTGGACGCACCAGAGGTTGTATTGATCGTGAGTTCCTCCCACCAGTAATGGCGGGTAGTTTGTCGTTCAATTATGAGGTAGTTCGATACGCACCGTACAGAGTCAACCAGGCAACAATTTCTGAGCCTGGCCCGCAGCGGTCTGGCGGATGAGGCATGCTAGCCAGCATGGCCATATACCCATCTTTGCCCAGCTACGGGCTTTTTGCTTTTACGGCTTGTCGGTTCTATCCTGGAACCTTCTTTCCAGTCGCGGACCAATTTAGTTTTTGTTGTCAGATTGGATGGCTGGCCATCGGGGTTGCGCGCGCGATCCGTTGATCCAGTCTACTCTTCATTGGGTTTGTCATTTTCGGCCATCTGGGCCAATAGGTTGTATGAATCTACTCGTCCGCCCATCTTCTTTGGTACTAATGGCGCGGGTGTGTTCCCCCATCGCAGAGTGGCCTGCAGCTGTCCCGCGGTAGTGGATTGCTTCCTCCTCCTCTTCCTCCTTTTCTTCTCCTGTTCCTCGGCAATTTGCCCGGGCGATGAATTGTCACAGGTGGTTCATCCTCTTGGCTTATGTTTATCTAGGGGGGCCTGGGCCAGCGCCAGCAGCAAACAACATCAGAGTCGTGGCGGTCGCAGCTTCGCGGCTGTTCTGCATTTCCCCCCAAAAAATGTTTTCTTTTTAGGAAGTCGGTGCGTGGCAGTTGGCCATGTACCCCGTGTTTTTTCTTATTTCTTCGTTGTCATGTTTAGTGATTGTCTTCCCGAAACGAAGCAAAAAGGCTGCCCGGTGTATTACCGTTGCTACTACCGTAACATGCTTATAGTCAACGTAGCTTGACGAGGTCCGTCGATCAGTTCACCCCTCCTGATTTTGAGGGGAGGTCAAAAACGAGTCTACGAGCGACGCGCCTGAATCCGCCGCCGTCTTTGGCTTCCAGCGGCGCACTCTAAACATATGACTGTCCCGTTTTCGGGGCACTGTCGCAGCCGAAGAACGGAACACATCCTTGGATGGTGTCTTTTTCGCATCTCATGCCGTATAGATGATCAGCCTACTCATACCTAAAGTGTGGAAAAGTCGTGGGATATTATTACACGCTGAGGGTGTCGTATACGGTACGGCTTACCCCATCATTTGCGATTATTTAGTTACTTGGAGGCTGGAAAAGCTGGTGGATAACAATTTCAGACCCCGCGTGCGGGGAGGGGTGGGTGGGTGCGGCCCCCCAAAATCCCCGCCCACACACAACAAGCGATGGTTGTAACACGCCCGCCCCGCGCAGGCACGGTGGCGGGTATTCGTGGTGCCCAAATCCACATCCAATCCGTTCTTGGACGCCTCGCCCGTCAGATCTTTGGCATCTTTCTTGCATTTACTCGGCCCAAAAGGTATATATATATATTGATATATGGATACATGTAGATATGGATACATTGATATATTGACATCTGGATATACATATATGTATATGTATATCTGCATTTATGTATACATACTTATATATGGGTATCTGGTTCTATGGAGTTATGGATGTAATGATATAGGGGTACATGGATATACGGAAACATTGATACATGTGTATACGGATATACGGGTATGTGTATGTGGATACAATGACATGGGTATATGTATAGAATTGTATATAAGCATATGTGGACTTATATAGTTGTGCACCTGTGTACATATACATACATATACGGTTACACATGCATGCACATATACATATTTGTAGATACCCACATATCGACGTTTATGCATATGTATTTGACTTGTGTATACATATGTACGTGTATATGTACATGGGTATGTATATGTTTATGTATCTGTTCACACATATGCCTAGATCTAGGTCTATGTCAATGTAAATGCACATATGCATACACACGTACATACACAGGTACACACAGCTGTATATGCATATTTATATGTGTATGTATATGCATATGTAAATGTATATGTATATGTATATGTGCAGGTGTTTGCATATGTATATGTATAGGTTTAAGTTCATGGACTTGTATGTGTATGTGTACATGTACATGTTTGTATATGCAGATGTATATGTATGTGTTTACGAATACGTATATGCATACGTATACGTTTGTGTATAATTCTATGTACATGTACATGTATATGTATACATGTATATCTACATCTATATGCCGATGCATATGGACATGTATATGTTTATGTATACAAATACATATGTATATATATTTGTATGTATATGTGTATATGTACGTGTATATGTTATATGTATATGTGTGTAAATGCATATGCATACGTATTGTATATATATGTATGTGTACGTGCACATGTATTTATATATGTATATGTACGTGTATGCATAAAGGTGTATCGTATACATATATAAATGTGTATATACACATACGCCTTATATATAAATGAAGGTGTATATGCATTCGTATATGTATATGTATATATATACACATGTATACGTATATGTATTCACATTTTCATTTGTATATGTCTATGTATATGTGTATGTCTATGTATGTCGCCTTCGGCCCATCCCGCCACCGCACCTAGGTTGTGGGCATGCAGCCTGTTGGGTGTTCGTTTGGGATGTCGTATGGTGCCTTTCGGTGGCCTCCTACTACAGGGGCCTCGTTTGGGCGCCTTTCAGGGGCAGTTTTAGGGCCTCTTGGGGCCTCTTTTGGGCATCCTGCGGGCCCCTTGAAGCCTCT